GCGGGTGTTGCAGTGCTTCAGTCCAAAAGAAGTGAAATAAAAAGTGCCCATCCATAAAAAAAAGTGTCTAACATGGTTCCGAATCGATGCATCTTTGTAAGAAAAATTTACATATTCAAAACGTAATAATCACTTTAATCTAGCTTGCGCCAACAGTTGTACACGGAAGCAGCTTCGTGCTGATGACGTATGAGGTAAGCGTTGCGCATGAGCCAGTGAGTTTGTGAAAACCAACGTTTGTTAACAGGAGCAAAGCAAGCTAAGTTTCCTTACTTTAGCAAAGGAAAACCAGTCTCCTCTTGGCTTATATCGAAATCCTCTGACATTCATCTTTACAAATCCTCGTTTTGTACTTCTAATTACTGACCGTTGTTTTGTTTTGATCTCTCTCCTGCGCTTCCTCGTTTGTCACTTCTGAGCGGCGCATGCGCAAAGCCGACCTCATGCGTAATCCGTCCGGAACTGATTCCGTTTACAACAGTGAGCGCAAGCTAGATTAAATTGATTATTACCTAACCGTTTAAGTATTGTACTGAAAGCTTAGCAACATGGTAATGGGAAAATCTATTGGAATCAAATGAGTATAAAGTAACTTTTGAGGTTCTGTCTCAGGATGCTGCCTTAGAAGGCCAATGTAGACAGTAGTCAGCAAGGGAGGTCACTGGGTTCTTGAACTGGTTATGTCAAACACTTTCCAGTTGAAATGTTCTGCAAAGTCCAAAGTCTATATTTTCTATTCTTCATTTTATCAGAGTGATATGTGTTTCTCGAAGATATGGTAAAACTGTCATAACTGTCAAAAGTAAACCATAGCCACAAAAACATTTTATGGTCATATGGCTGATTAACTTGAAGTTTAGATACCAATTCTGTCAGCAACATATAGAACATGTGAATTATTGCTGTCAAGAAGCATTATTGTAGTGAGCACATATGTGTGATAGCTTTTCAGATAGCACGGTTGCCTTTGAATTTAGTCTTATAAATTATTGTGAAACTACATAAGTGCAATTTATTTGTGTTAGTAAGATAATCATTAGAATTGTATTATTAATAGGCTTATGCAATGCTGCTTAATGTGTTACACAGGCTAACTGGTAGTCTCCAGGCCCCTGGAGGTGCAGCTTTTCCAGGGTTCCTGTCTTTCCCCCCAGGGATGCCCAGCTTCTCCACGACAGCATCTCCTGCTGCCCTCTCTGATCTTCACAACTCTGCCATGCAATCTGCTCTTCTGCAGGTATCTATATATTGATTGGAGGCTATGGCTCTTTATTTGATCATTAAAGGGCTACTGGATATTATTACTATGCCTGCTATTATGATTACTAGCAAGATTTTTAGAAGAATTTACTCTATGCAAATGTTAATGTTTGTTTTGTGTGTGTGATTGCAGGCTCACTCTGCATCAGCGCTTGACAGTTACCCTCCCCAGCCAAATGGATTCACTAACTACCCTGCAGCCGCAGGCTCAAGCTTCCCTCTGCAGCCAGGCCTGCATCCACCACTGGGCTGGCAGTAACTCATTGTGAGTTACAGAGGGCAGGCATATCGAAAACTATGTGACATTTTGTGTGAAGTGTGCGTAAACAATGACGAACATTGTGGACTATGGTGCTCTGCATGGAAAAGGGTGTGTCATAACACAATTATGGGTAAAATTCAGAAACTAATGTGGAAGCTCTACTCTCCAATAATTTCCTTTAGAAGATACTCACAAGTCTCAAATCAAGACGAGCTTGTGGTTTAGCACACTGCATTAGTAGAACATAATTTTGATTGACTTTTGAGGGCTGGGCTGTTTGTTATACGTATTTGAATGAAATGAATACTGTTCTTTAGTATTTTTTATTTTTTTGTAGAAGTAATTAGGGCTTAACTCTAAGTATCATAATTTTAAAAAATGAATACTAAAATGAATTTTAAATATACACCATTAGAGGAAATGTGAACAGTGTGGGTGTCTAAATTTTACTAAACTGTTTTTCCCTGTATCATGATAGTGAGTTAACGGACCTTTTCTTCAAATGTCTGTTAAATGCTGTACATGTAAATACCCTTTGAGAATGGGTAAATTAGGTGTTTGATCTTTGTACTGTAGATGTTCTGTTTTTTTTTCTCCTAGGTTACCTTGCAATCTCCTCTAAAGAAGTTGAGTTGCTTTGCAACTCCTAAGTGACTTTAGTGTTACATATTTTACACTCTTGTGCAATTTGCTGATATTAAGGTCAGAACCATGAATTTGACATGTATACAATGTAGATCTCAGAGTCTACAGTACTCGCGTTTGTTTTCATTATATATTTTAAAATATAATAAAGAATATGGTAGGTTTAGTCTAGTATGTTCTAACAGCATCATGAAATAAAAGTTCTTTTCTTAGATTTTCTTTGTTGTTTGTCTTTATTCAGAATTTTTTGGTTAGCAGAAGATATATCACTATACCTGTTCAGGACTTTCCAGAATGGCCACAAAACCCACAGCAACTTTCTAAATTGAGATGCAATGTAAGCAGTCACTACAGACAAACAAAAACAAATTCAAAATGATTTGCTGCCGGAATTCCAATAATACCAGATTAATTGTAAAAGATTATTGAAATTAGTGAATTGCAATTGGTTTTTAGATGGCTGCTATTGCTGTTTATGTATTTATATATAGAAAAGTTATGTTAATTTACCATAGATAATGTGTTGGAAGGAAGTTTTTATTGTATTTACTGATTTCCCCTTTTTGATTGTTCGAGAAAACCTGACAAAGTAACTATTGAGGTCTTTGCTGGTAAACTTTTTCAGAGAACCGCTATAAAATCGATTACTGTATTTTTGACGTTGATTTACCCTGCTTATACTTTTGGTCACATAGCGGGAGTGAAATAATTACTTTCATCTTTTCCACATCATGAGACTCCTGCCATTACTAGTTTCCACTTGACCCTTCGATCACTTACCTGGTGTTACGCAATACTACCTATGAGTTCCTGCATGTAAGCAATGGATGAAATTCCTCACTAGATATAGATAATACTAAATATTTATATAGTAAATATAGTTATAAAAGAATTAGAAATAGTAATCCATCAAAATTCTATTCAAATACAATTTAGCCTAAAAAATCCCATACTTTAGCAGCAACATTTTTGATAATCATGCTTTACTGATATGCAAAGTGGAAATAACTACATTTTTTATACTGATCTACCTACCAGACTGTTTCATAAATCACTGGAGGGAGGGAGGGAGGGAGGGAGGGGAAGGGAGGGAGGGGGGAGAGAGGGGGTCACATCACAGTGGAGTCAGCTGTCTTAACCGTGGCTTGTGTACTGCAAACACATACCAGCTTCATCACTGTGTCTGATCCTGAACAATCAGTGTTTTCGAACAAATCTTTTCCGTGAATGATTCAGTGACTCAGTCATAAAGACAGTCTTGTTTCCTTCTTGAATGAGAAAGAGTTGTTGAATGAAAAGTTTGAGTCTGAATTCGGAATAACATTAAATAGTGCTCTTATATTTGTGCCACATAAATATATGAGAAAATAGTAAGAGCAGAATGATAGTAGGCTATGCTATATTGCATAAGACTGTAAACTCTTGTATAGTCTAATGTTTAATATAAAACGTACATGAATTCATCCATTTAAGACTCGCAATTAGTATTTACGTATGGCATTTACTAAGTAGCCACATTTTCATTTTTGTTTGTATTTAGATCTTGACCAAAGACTCAGTGACAGTTTCTGTGGATGGTGTTGTGTACTTCCGTGTAAATGACCCTGTTGCCTCAGTGGCAAACGTGACAAATGCAGATTACTCCACCCGCCTACTGGCCCAGACCACCTTGAGGAATGTCCTGGGCACCAAGAACATGTCTGAGGTCCTTTCTGACCGAGAAGGCATCTCCCAAAGTATGCAGGTGAGTGTGATAGTGAAAAAGACAGGTATAATGGCGTCGCTAATTGTGCATCAATGAGATAATTGCAGGTCCGATTCAAGTAGCTGAAAGTTTGTCCTATAATTCTGCTGCAGATGACTCTAGATGAGGCCACAGATTCATGGGGAATCAAGGTGGAGCGGGTGGAGATTAAAGATGTTAAACTGCCAAAGCAACTGCAGAGAGCAATGGCTGCCGAGGCGGAGGCGGCCCGTGAGGCCAGAGCGAAGGTGAGCATTACTGCCACACATTACTAATATATGTAAATGTAATTAAATGGTAAAAAATTACACCACATTTAATTTACAATTTGTGATGCCACACCCTAAAATGGTTTGTGATAACACAGGTCATTGCAGCAGAGGGTGCATCCAGGGCTCTGAAGGAGGCGTCTCTTGTGATCTCAGAGTCTCCATCTGCCCTTCAGCTCCGATACCTCCAAACCCTCAACACCATCGCAGCTGAGAAGAACTCTACCATCATCTTCCCTCTGCCCATGGATGTCATAAGCCACTTCATGAAGAAATGATCGCTGAATATTCCCGAAGTTTACAGATGCTTGCAAGCCATTCATTTAGAAATTTTACATGATTTTCTTATGTGTCATGTTTAACATATTTCAGTTTTTTTGTGTGTATTGAAGGGATGTCATTTATCTATAACAGGGAAGAGTGACAAGTTTTACAAATTATTTATTTAAAAAAATACAATGCGTCATATTTTAGAACATATATCAATGTGTAACAACTTTCAAATGCCAATTTTATATTCTTATATACAATGTATGCATGAAGTTAAATAAATTTCAATAAAAACTGATTTTACATTTTTAAAACATTTAAAGTCATTTTCACCCATGTGAATGATGGTGTCTTTCATCTGTTCTTCATCTAACCATAAAAAACGATTCATTCTGATCCCAAAAAGGAACCAAGAACATCTACACACATCAGAGTCCTTGGTTCCAGATTTTTATACTCTGTTCACACAAGTGTTTTCTAACGTTCCACTAGAGTAGAGGACACTATTGTGCCAAAGAGTTCGAGGAAATGAGCTCCCAGTGTCCATGTTATGGTGGTAGTTCTAAGATTTCTGTGTGGTTTTCCATAATCTCTTCTGTCAGTATGATGGATTCCTCATACACATCCAGACGGAGACAAAGAATAACACTAAGGGGAAAGTATGTGTCAATGTGTTACATTTGAAATTTCAACTGAGACAAAATTTTAATAATTAAACATAATAATAATAGCAACATTGAACTATTAATTAGTTTTAGTTCACTTAAAAATTAACATTTGATTTGCATTCAGTTACTACTACAGAAAGCTTGGTATATAGTGCACAGGTCATGTGGACTACTTTTTTGGTCTTTTTAGTGGCAAGTAATTTGATTCATCCCAGTGATTAGAATCTTTTGAACCCAATTACCAAAAGTATTAAGAAGCGTTCACTGATTTGTTCAGAGAGTAGTGTTGATTAAATTACTCTAAAAGAGTATTTAATGCAATTACATCAGAAGTAACTGTAATTAAATTACAGAAAAACAGAGTAATCCCTTTTACTAATTCAAGGGGAAAATAATTGTTTTTTGTTTTTGTTTTGTGTGTGTGTGTGTGTGTTATTGTGCTATGTTTTTACACAATCTGTTCAACCAATGAAATGCTCCTTCACAGTCCTTACTCGAATGCTATTGGCTCATCAGTCTTTGAATAAATCAGTCACTTTTCAAAAGGGAGCAACTTGAACGAAAAATAGTGTGGAAGTAAAGGACACTGATTCTTTTAAATAGAAAACAACACTTTTTGTACATTTTAAGTGAATTGCCATTATATGGCAGGAGCTGTGTATTAATTCTTCAGATTTCTACATTTATGTTCTACAGACAAAAACAACAGCATCTGAATTTGGGATGACATGACTGAATCACAGAATTTACGATTTTGCCTAAACTATTTCTTTAATAAAACCAGATGTTTTCACAAGTATAATGGTTGCAGTTGAGGAATATAGGCCTAGAGGTGGGCTACTTACCAGATCAGGACAGCTGGTATGAGAGTTAGGCCTGCAGCCAGCAGGAAACTAAACCCGGAGAACCAGGAGAGTGTAGCTGCATAGATGCTGCTGAACATTGTAAATGAAACACCAACACTCAGCATCTCCACAAAGGCTACACACGCAAACATGGCACCTGTACACAAACACACAGCCACAAGGAACAACCTTACAGCCATCAATAATTCAGAGTTCAAGTGAATTGGGAATGTTCTATTTTTTGGGAACGCCTGGATTTGTTTGCTGGGAATGAACGAAAAACTTAAACAAAATTAAAATGTAAGTTTATATATTCTATTCTATTCTATTTTACTGTGATTCTTACCTTGCTCAGATCCAGACACTATTTTGGACATCATGGATCGTAAGACAGGAGTTGGCATGATGGACAGCAGCAAAGGCAACCTCACTGCAATGAATAAAACATACACAATTGTTTTACCTGAAAATAGACCAACCAGCCACCCTTTAGAATCTCCATAAATGCCCAAACTCAGTCTTACCCAGGAACATGAGCAGGGTAGACTTTGCAAACGCTGCCATGATGAGGCCGGCTGCCACAGACATCAGCCCCAGCAGGATGATGTAGGCATCAGGCAGATAGCGGGACAGCAGCGCCACACCGGCGAAACTCACCAGATAGATGGCAGTGGACAGAGCCGAGCCATAACCCACAAACACCTCACTCCAACACAGAGGTGTGTTCAGCTCATACAAGATAAAGATGGACATGCCACCCTGCAGGGCTACCTGTGAAGGACACAATCATCATCTTAGTGCTTAAATTGGGGCTAACTCCTCATCTTTCAACTAAAACTAAAACTAAAATAAAAGTAATATACTATATTATATAATAATATATTATACTTAATTTTACATATTTTTAAGTGTTCATCTTTATTTCTATATTGAAATATTTTTGAACTATAAATTTACATTATGAAATATAAAGACACAATAATGAGAAACAGGCACATTTATGACATAAAATCACACTGTGAGTTATATATGTAATTATCCATTCATATTTTTAATTGACTTCCGTTGTATCAACTTAAGAAGGCTTATAATATAACCTGTCAATATAACTAGTTTGGAAGCATCCATTATTTCTTGTATTTGCATTTCCGTTTGGTGCCACTAGAGGCACTTCACTGTGACTTCTGATGTACCACAAACAGATGGAGCTTGTGAATAATGCCAGAATAATCATAATCACCCTGAAAAAGGCAAAAGCAGCCAGCATGAGCAACAGCACTATGTTCCTTCTCCGTTTCGAGGCTGCAAAGAGCAGGTAGACACCCTGCAGATGGGCGGCAAGAGCTTGAGACTGGTTCAGTCGAGGGGCTTCAAAAGCTGAGTGACCGGACGAAGACAGACTGGGATTTGGAAGAACCAGGGACTCCTTCAAAACCACCAGCACATAGAAGAGGTTTATCAGATGTAGAAAGACCGCGGTGAGGAAGGGCCAGGTGAAGCCAGCTGCTTTGATGTAGAATCCAGTGCACAGAGAAGCTAAGCCAGTCAAAACCCCTAAAATCATGTCCAGTCGAGCCATTCGGACAGTCTTCTGTCCTTCCAGATCTTCTCCGCAGAGGTCGGCTACATAGGCGAAACATCCACCGATCAGAGTGGTGGGGCCTCCCATCAGGCCTGATAGGAAGGAGGCAGCTAACAGGTAATTGAGACTGAAGGAGAATCTACTGACCAAAACATAGCAGAGGGCGAACAGAGTGTCACCCACCAGAGGAGGAACAATGGCAACTTTACGCCCGCAGTAGTCACTGTATGAGACCAGGAGCAACGCTGAAATGAGACTGGGAATAAGGAAGCACAGTTCACTCTTGAGGAGAAAAATTGACGTCTCCTTCTGCACTGCCTGAGAGAGGAGAAAATAAACTTTCAGATCAGATGTAAAAATCAGCCAGAACATAAAACAATGTAGATATTTTTTTTTTTAGCAGTTCTTAGTTATGCCTGTAAAGCTTAGTTAACTGAGTCGTGGGAGAAGTAGAGAGTGAAAGAGAACATGAAATATGACACTGGTAATTCAAATATATCAAATGACAGGCAGCTCCACAGTAAGAGCTTGTGAATTGAAAAATAATTTTTACACACAAGGACTACAAACAGAAACAAGTACAAAACATGAGCTCAACTTAAGCAAATATAACTGGTTCTCCATGAACATCATCAATGTAAACTTTACCTAGTTAACAAAGCAAACAGTTTAGTCTCTGCGCGCCCTCATTCTATTTCAACTTTTTAATGTCTTTCTCTGAGCTGTTTCATTTGCTGCTATTTTTTAAATGTTAAAAATGTTATTTTAGTAGTATTTATACTGTTATAATTTTTTATAATGACATTATTTTTTATTATTCTATTTTATATATTACTATTTAAGTTTATTTTTTATTTCAGTTTTAGTTTTTACTTTTTTCCAGTTTTAGTCCAGTATTTTTAGTGCTTCAGCATAAATGTATTTCAGTTAGTTGCCTAAGCATTTTGTTTAATTAGATTTTTTCAAAAATGTTTTTAATGGTTTTAGTTTTATAGATAATGTCCAGATGTTTTATTTCCCCTATATGATCAATTTAGGGGAAATTAATTTAGGGTGTCTTTTCTAGGAACTTAAAAATAATATTCATAATTTCAGTTCAATTGGTATATATTAAATCAATTTGTAATTAAAACAAAACAAAAGCAGCTGTCTTCGTCATAACAGAGAACAATTACCAAATAGGTTATTTATTCATCAGAAACAATCCAATTCTTTTTCATTTTTATACATTTTAAAGTTTTAGATTCAAAGTTAAAGATGGCTAATTTGTTGTGTTACTTAACTGTCACACACCATCACACAGATCTACAGGACATGTGATAAATGCCTTCATATAGAAACAGAAGAAGATTTTAATAAGTCAGAAGTGGCCATGACTGAGGCAGCTAAAGGCTCTGACCTGGTGAATGGTGACATAGCTGTGGTTGTTTGAGCAGTGAGACAGACTCTCAGCAGGGTAGGTCGTGCCACTCAGCTCAAACCACAGCCTACGGTACACATACTGCTGCAGCAGAGGGTAGATCATAAACATGGCAAACGCATACAGGCCAACTGCCGGCTCGATCAGGAGCACACGGCCCATCCCACTTCCTGCTCTACACCGGCAAAAATACCTGGAGAGATGCTTGAGAAAACAGTCACTAAACTAATGGAAACCAAAAATAAACAGTAAGAGAGGAATCTAATCATTTATTATGAATATATAATGAAAGTCTCTTGGTTACGGCCATAGATGGATTTGGCGGTTCTTACCTGCAAGTTATGATAAGAGAAATCGTTCCATATTTAAAGCATTTTTTTCCTTCTTCAAATCCACTCAAAAAGTCACAGGGCACGGTGAACAGAAAGACCTGTTTATCCAATGTGATTATTCATTTGGGACCTCAGAGCCTGTAAGACAGAGACTTCCACTCCTCGCGTTTGTTTGTCAAGACTACAAATCCTCAAAGGAACACACACCCTCAGAACACGTATGTGTGTTTAGAAAGGAGGAAGAAGTGGAAACGAGTAAGGAGGAGAGTTGGAATAAGCACAAGAGGTGCAAAATGTATTTGGACAATTAGAATGTTAGAATGTCACTGCAGTGGCATTTATTTTAAAGAACTACAGCAAGTGAATTGAAATTACGGAAGAATTCTGTTCTTCAAACACTCTGCTCTCAGAACTTTGGCTAACGTTCTGACAAGGTTCTCTCTGAATAAACTTTCTTCCAGTAATGTTACTTGAATGTTCATTCAGTTATCTGCTCTTAAATAATGTTCTCAAAATGGTGGCACTAAAACATCCATTATACATCGTTCATGGAATGTTTTTTATCCAATCGTCTAATATATCCTACTACTTACTAGTTTCAGATGGTTCCGAGAACATTCACAAGTAACATTCTCATAATGCTTGCAATGATGTAATGCAACATTCTATTAATCTTTTCTCTAACGTTCACATAATCAAGAAAAATGAGAACATTCAGAGAACATTCATTAATAACAATTTAATAACTTCATGTGAATGTTAGCAAAGCATACTTAGAACATATTTTTGTTAGCTGGGCTCATTCAGATCTAATGTAATGATATTTATAATAGTTGTTGGGGCCATTTTATACAGGTACATTAATTATTATTCACAAATAAGCGAAAAAGCATGTCCTTTTTTAATATTTTAATATTCATCCCCACCCCCCTAGTGAATACAAATGAGTTATATATAAATTCTTTCCATTCCTTAGTATTATATTCTCTATGCTACAGTTACAGTGTGAACCATCACAAGTTGAAAACATACACGGGGAAGGAATGATCCGCCAAGACAAACATGCATCGATTACTGTGCACTACAACACAATAAATAGCTTACAAGCGACTGTAAATCCAGTAAAAAAAAGACATAATAGAAGTCAAATGCTAGTAAATAGACAGATGGACAAATTTCATTCAGTACAATAAGTGACTCCACTACTCCCAGTTTACATTGACTGTGTCAGTATTTTCAGGGGCAAGTTGACATTCAGCAGTTTAGATGTCCACGGGACAAAGAGTCAGTGCTTCTCAGAACGTGATTCTGTTGTTTCATATCATTCATCATAGTCTATGGACTAATGCCATAGTGAAGGTTATCTTGAGGAGCATAGAAAAAAAAACAATGAGCTCTTACAGGATTTTTAAGTATACAATTAAACATAGTTTCTCCTTTTAGTAAATGTAGATTAGTAACAATTTTGCACTTTGTTATAAACCATAGCAGGTGCAGATTGAGGTTGCTGAGGTTTTTTGTTTAGACATTAATTTAGAACATAAATGTTACCCTGGAGCACAAAACCAGTCTTAAGTCGCTGGGGTATATTTGTAGCAATAGCCAAAAATACATTGTGTGGGTCAAAATGATCGATTTTTCTTTTATGCCAAAAAATCATTAGGATATTAAGTAAAGATTATGTTCCATGAAGATATTTGGTAAATTTCCTACCGTAAATATATCAAAACTTAATTTTTGATTAGTAATATGCATTGCTAAGGACTTCATTTGGACAACTTTAAAGGCGATTTTCTCAATATTTAGATTTTTTTTGCACCCTCAGATTCTAGATTTTCAAATAGTTGTAACTCAGACAAATATTGTCCTATCCTAACAAACCACACATCAATGGAAAGCTTATTTATTCAGTATTTATGTATTATGTATTTTGTAAAATTGACACTTAAGATTGGTTTTGTGGTCCAGGGTCACAAATATACAATATGAAAAAAGTAAAACAAAAATAAAATGTAAAATTAAATTCTAGTAAAATCAATCTATTTAAAAAGAGAATTGCTGAAAAAACCCTAAATAAAACTAATGAATAAAATAAGCAAACAAATATTTAAAAAAAAAATTTCTTGTATCAAACCAGATATTAGAAGCATATTACCTGTTTGTTAGGTGGCTATAATGTAATAACCTTTTACCCTAAATAAAACTAATGAATAAAATAAGCAAACAAATATTTAAAAAAAAGATTTTCTTGTATCAAACCAGATATTAGAAGCATATTACCTGTTTGTTAGGTGGCTATAATGTAATAACCTTTTCGTTTTTGCTACTTTGCACAACAAATGAAGGCACATTCCTGAAACATTTATGTAATTGTTGTAGTGAATCAAAATTATTCAGAATTTTAGACAAATTACTAATGTAAAATGATCTGCTGTTGTTTAATAAAAAGGTTTTTATTTTTAAAAAGGCGCTTTTAAAATTTTAAACAATTTTTTTGTAATTTCTTTTAATGGGGTGGTATTGTGCTTGACAGGAAACATCCAGAAAACTCCTTAGCATCTGTTGCCAGAGTAGCAAAAAATAAACAACGACAAATCATTTGTATCACAGTGACAGAAGCAAATTAAATTAATTCAGAATGTAAAGCTACATAATTTAAAAATGCATTAGAATTAGAATAAAAAATACATTTCACAGTAATTAAAAAAATGTAAAAGTAAACAACAGTGTCTCTAATGAAGAAAAACATCTGCAAATACATACTTGCGGTGTGTGTGTGTGGATTTTTTGTAGATTGCTGGTCTTGTATAGCAGATTACTTCTGTGTATGATACCCTGTACAAACACCAACTGATAATACTTTAGAAAAAAATATTATCAGTGAAGAGTTTACAAAAATTCTCATTCGTATCAAAAGTGTCAAAGGTTGCCCATTGAAAGATGTATCAATAGTAAAAACACACAAAAAAAGAAAAAAAAATCCAATCCAAATTTTAAAAAATTCAAAGAATTGGCATCTTTGTTTTGAAATATCAAAACCCACTTTACAAGAACAATGTGCTATTATTTTTCTTACAAATAAATAAATAAATAAATAAATCATGTTATACTGAAAAACTGAGAACTGCCTTTAAGACAGAGCAAAATATTTTCCCTGAACTTTACCATACAACAATTAAAGACAGTTACATTCTTTTCTAGTTCACTCATACAGAGATCTCTCTCTCTAGGTTATGCTACACTCTACAGAGGTAATACAAGAGTTAACCAGCATTACAATAAAGATGAAATCCAAACATACATTTAACTGCCATATTATACCTCCATAAAACCTTTACACATCTGTAACATACCTACAACACACCTCTGACAGGTGTGGCATCAGGTGGAGTTAATTAAGAAAGTTCTGTCCTATTAGTTATGGGTAAAATATTGTCCTCAAACATAAAAAAAACTCATTCCTATTCCTAAAAGCTATCATCCCCAGGAGTCTGAGCATCTACGCTAACATGACAACTATTCTAGGATTCACATTAAGAATGGAAGACTTCCATCACATGCACATCAAGTAGCAAAATGTCCATTAAATGACAAAGTACTAATAAAAGTTACAACTACAATTTACAACAACATTTCCTGTAGTCGGTACCTATACATTTGCTTGATCTCCCTGTTTTATGTCATGCATGACGTTAGAGCACTTGCTTTTGTCAGATAAGTTAGGAAGAACAGGAAGAACAGACTTGATGCTGAAGACTTTTTTGTCTTGTTAACCAAGCAACCGGTAAAATCTGGCACAATGAATCTGTGCCAGCGAAGGTGTCATGTCATGTCAGCAAGCAAACTGCTCTGTGTATGAAGAAACACTTGTTTGAAAAAGCTGGTTTTGATATTAGCTGGATTAGTCTTTTGGAGGGTCCAGGAAAACATACTGTAACTGCTCATGCACCAGTGGAAGGCATTGCAGTTTGTTAAGACAATGTGAAGAGGCCTTTATACTGCAAAAAGTCATTTCCTAAATCAGTATTTTGTTTAGATAAAATTATCTAAACATTTTAAAATATTTTTATTATGATTGTGCAATTCAAAAGCTAGGGTAGATTTTCTTTTTGAAAGAAAATAACTGTTTTATTCAACAATGACGTCATTTCCTAAATCAGTATTTTGTTTAGATAAAATTATCTAAACATTTTTAAATATTTTTATTATGATTGTGCAATTCAAAAGCTAGGGTAGATTTTCTTTTTGAAAGAAAATAACTGTTTTATTCAACAATGATGAATTAAATTGGTGACAGTAAAGACATCCATAATGTAATACATTTCTGTTTTAAATAAATGAAGGAAAAAAAACTCAAATAAAATAAATAAACAATAGCAAATGATTTTGTGCACCAAATCAGCATATCAGAATGATTTCTAAATGATCATGTGACACTGAAGCCTGAAGTAATGATGCTGAAAATTCAGCTTTACCGTAATGGCAATAAGTTAGATAGAAAACAGTTATTTTAAACTGTAATGATATATCATAATAGTACTGTTTCATTGTTTATTTTTATCAAATAAATGCAGCCTCGGTCTGCATAAAAAACATGGGGATAAGACAGACGGATAGAAAATAAATAAATAAATACATATATAGATAGCCTCAACACAAGTCATAATATCTTTATCTTAAGAATATTGGAATATTTTTACTGTAAGAAAAAATAATTAAGAAAAAGACATTTTGCAGTATATATGCAGGGCTGCCGCTATGGTTTCTGGGCCCCTTGAACAGCATAGAGTCGGGCCTCGGTAGAAATGTAATTCGGGCCCCCTCTCCCTCGTCGGACCCTTGGAATTGTCCTTACCTCCCCCCCTTCCCCGTAACCGTGCTCCTGTATATACGTCTTGACTAATTTGAAACATTCTGAATCAAAACTTGTGAGATTTGTAAAATCAGAAGACATATCACATAAAAAAATAAACCAGACCACAAAAAATGCTGGTGCATTTATCTGTTGGAAGAAGGTAGGGCAGAAACCTAAAGTGCTTTTTGTTGTATAAAGTTCTCTTATGTCATTCAGAAGAAACTACAGACATTAGTGTTGGAGCCCAACAGCATGTTTTAGAGTCAAATCTAAAGACGAGCTACATTTTTGTACACAAAAATGGTCCT